ATACTAAAGGGATCGCTTATTACTGCAGTCATTTAAGTACACCCAGAATTTGTCTTTTGTGACAACATTTTTCCATTTTTATCGGAATAAATGTTTTTCATAAAGAATCCTGCAGCGCATTCTGACTTCGGCGATATGTCGTGGTGAAAGACGATGCACATGATGTATTTTTTTTTTCTCGACTTTTTAAGATTCAAATCAGCATTAATCACTTTCTTTGCAGTTGACACCAAGCATTCATTCTAAATATTCCGTTTTTCCTTCGATGTGCATTCCAAAAAATTTTTACTTGTTTGACGTTTTTTTTTTTTTTTTTTTTTTTTTCCTCCTTGTTGACAATATTACCTATCGCAGCTTTAGATATCAAAACACCATGGCTTTCACAAAGTTTCTTAATAACCAGATCAGATACGAACATTTTCTTCGGAAAGAGCACAAACATAGCCTTCCGTCCATTGCTTCTCTAAAAGCGCCATTTTGCGTGAAAACAAAATTGTTAAGTAGCAGACGATAATTTATACTTTAAAAAATTTAGTTGCAGTTAAAACAAAAATTTCCAAGCAAATGAATTTTTTATAGCAAAGCAAAATCGTCTAAAAAATGGGCAAACAGTCTCTGTATTGTGCGTAAAATAGTGTTGCCATTATTTAAATTTAAATTCATATTATAAAACTTGATGCATATTATGAGGGACTGATGGGCAGCTGTTTCTCAAATAATTGTCATACAACCATATATTTTCAGCTAATTATTATTCTTACTAGAGTATTCTTCTACGCATTGACAGATACTCAAATACAAGCAAAAAATCCTCCCCCTTCCAAGGAATTATTCTCTTTCTTGAGGGAGAGAATATTTGTTGTTCTATTTAATGAATGAACTTTCTTTATTTATAGTCCAAAGGGGCAATTTGCCCTGAAGGACTATTAATTTCGTTTTGGCATTTTGCGTTGAAAACTATAAACGGCGAATCACTTTTCAAATTGTTGCCACCAAGTATTATCCTCCTGTATTATATTTTAAGATATTAAATAATGAAGAATGTGTATGAATGCATGTATGTTTCTCGCACTGTGATAAAATAACTGTACCTAGAGCCATCAAAATTTGAATAGCGTAATCTGCTATAGAATATGGGCATCTGGAAACCTAATTTAAATTTGGAATATGTTTTATTATCGATTTAATATTTTGCAAAACTTTAACGAATTTTTGACTAACACACTCCAGGATTTCAAAGCGAGCAATGGCAAAAACAGAAAAAAAAAAAAAAAAAAATTATCTCTAGCGCGCGAGATTCTGTATCGGAAATTCTAAAGATATGCTCATTTTAAAATTATTTTGCGATATTGCTGTTGAACTGAATTTTATGGTTTCAGCGCGAAGAACACGATATTTAATAAATAAAGGTAACACACAAAATGTTAAAAAAACGCCCCTTTGGACGTAATTTAAAATCTGAAACCTTTCAAATTTTTTTATTAATCCAAAGGGGCTTCAGAAGGACTATTGTTTTCGTTTTCCGATTTTGCGTTGAATCACTATAAATGTCCGTTTCACTTTTCAAACTGTTGCCACAAAATGTTACAGTCCTGCATTATATTTGAAGAAATTAAATAATGAAAAATCTGCATAAATGTATGTCTATTTCTCGCATTGTGATAAAACAACGGTAAATATAGAGCCATCGAATTTTGAATGACATCATCCTCCTACGAATATGGGCAAGTATAGACCAAATTTGAAATTTGGAATTTGTTTTATTATCGATTTCATATTTTGTAAAACTTTAACGAATTTTTGAGTAACAAACTCAAGGATTTAAAAGCGAGCAATGGAAACATTCTACGGCGGAGGGAGAAAAAAAACCTTTTTATCTGCAGCGAGCAGGAACTGTGTATCGGAAATTCTAAAGATATGCTCATTTTAAAATTACGTATTTTGCGACATTGCTACTGAACTGAATTTTATAGTTTAAGTGCAAAGAACATGATATTTAATAAAGGTAGCACACAAAACGTTACAAAGAAACCAATGTACATACCATTTATCATATTTCATTATGATTGAATCATAGAAATGTATCGAGTTTCATTATGATTGGATACGGAGATGATTTTATATGCGTGGAAATAAAGACTGGATGTTCTTCAAGTTCATGTTTTGTTTTCTTCATGTGTAAGCCTTCACCATAAGCCAGAACGACTGCAGGCTGATTCATCTTCTATGCTTCAAAAATATTACATGTATACTAATTACCACTGAAGGAAGCATCATCATTGATATTATAATCATCACTGAATCATCGTCATTGCTAGGATAATCATCACTGAATCGTCATCATATTGAACAGTCATCATCATCATCATTGATAGGGGAAAACAATCATCATTGAATATATACTTAAACTTTTAATTATCTTAGTATTTTTTTTAGTCCAAAGGGATTTGAATCCCGAAGGACTATTAGTTTCGTTTTGGCATTTTGCGTCGGACTCATAAATGTCGGTTCACTTTTCAAACTGTTGCCACAAAATGTTAGAGTCCTGCATTATATTTGAAGAAATTAAAATATGAAAAAATCTGCGTAAATGTATGTATATTTCTCGTATTGTGATAAAACAACGGTACATAGAGTCATCGAATTTTGAATAACGTAATCCTCCAACGAATATGAGCACGTGGAAGACCAAATTTGAAATTTTTTTATGATCGATTTCCTATTTTTTAAAACTTTGACGAATTTTGATTAACAAAACTCAAGGATTTCAAAGCGAGCAAGGCAACGTTGTGCAGAAAAAACATTTTTATCTCCAGCGCGTGAGTCTGTATCGGAAATTCTAAAGATATGCTCGATTTAAAAACTATTTTGTGATATTGCTGTTGCACTGGATCTTATTGTTTAAGTGCGAGGAACATGATATTTAATAAAGAAAGGTAACACACAAAATGTTAAAAAACGCCCCTTTGGACGTAATTTAAAATCTGAAACATTTCAGTTTTTTTTTTTTTTTTTTTTTTTTTTTTTTTTTGTGTGTGTGTGTGTATAGAAAATGTAATTTATTTGTTTGTGTTAAAGGTTCTATAATGATGAAACACGACAAATCCCAGATTACTGTGCATCTATAAAAGGAAAAGTATTTCCCCTTGAAAAGTCAGTTCTCCTTTGTCAAATAAACAACAATTTTATAATTTTCCTATTCTGCTTCTAACTTTCTCATTTTGTTTATATAGTAAAAGATTATTATTTATCAGTCCAATTTGACATTTTTTCACACTTCTGAATTAATTCACTTCCAAAGTAATTTAATTTACGTCATTTAGTTACAATAATATTGAAATACTGTTTCTAGGGGGTTAGTAATTACATTCTAATATATATAATATATATATATATATATATATAATATATATATATATATATAATCAAGAGAAAATAATTAAATGAAATTATGAAAGAAAGCAATTCTCCAACAGGAACCATTAAAATCTTTGATTGTCCAATTCATTTCGCAGCATACTGCGCGATTTTAGTAATATCACCTTAAATTGAAATCTCTCAACTTTTGGTTATGTCTATAAAATGATTGTAGTGTTAGTCACAACAGTGTTTAAAAACTGTGTTTTATTGCATTTAAATCCTTAGTTTATTAATCGGTAAGAGATTTGTAACAGATCAGTAACAGTCAATTTGAAAGACAAATTAAATGCCTGATACTTTGCCAAATGGCAATACTCTGGCGCGTGGAAGGTAAAAGTATTTTATTTCAGACACTGGCAGAGCATTTCTATATAGTGGCAGTTTTATGACTAAATTTGGAAGACAAATATCTCACGCTTTCCCGAATATTTTGTGCAAATTTAAGAATCGTTTGGTAAAAAATTCGCCGATTTAAAAGCTTATAAGTTATTTCTCCCGCCTTCTTAGCATGCCTTCGTGGTGTAATGGCCAGCACACTTGGCGCGTGTTCGAGAGGTCCGTGGTTCGAGTCCCGGGGCGAGGACATCGCCCATTTTTCATGTCTCCTGCTTCGACATAACCTAATATGTCTACAAACTTGCCACTCTGCAAAGCATAAGGTCTTTATTTGTGTTTCAAATTTAATCAAAAAACTTGGCGATATAACAGAATTGTGTTGCCACTCGGCGAAACCCAACACATTAATTAGTCTTCCGAGTTTAATCAACAAACTCAGCTATTTGAAAGAAATGTGTTGTGTTGCCACTACCCGTATTAAAAGATTTCTATGTTCCACGCTTGTGCTGTCATTCAGCAAAACGTAAGATAATATTTAATTTTCTTTTTTTAAATTTATTCTGTTATAAATTAACAAGTTAATAGATTAATTTAAAAGCAATATACGGAAATTCATTTAAGTTGTTTTTAATTACTAGCTGGAGCCGTGAAATTAAATTACCTGGATTCATTAAATTTATTATATATTTTTTTTCTTCTATTTCGTATTGAGTATTTTAAGCGACTGGCCGCACACATGGCTAGTAATATGAGGAATTAAAGAGCTGCAGATTGACTGATAATCAGCCACAATTTAAACGAATTATTTTTCAGTGTTTCCAATATCATATTCTCCAAACGATTTCAATGCGCGTGTTACTTTCGTTCACTCTCTCTCTCTCTCTCTCTTTCCACCTTTTTTAAAGCAATAAAAAATTGAGACAATACTAAAAAGGCATTAATAGTTATAACATATCGAGTAATCTGAAGCACACGACAAAAAAAAATTAACAGCTATGTTGGCGGTGATTCAAAAGACAATATATACTTGTTTTTTATTTTCATTTCGAATGAATTATCTTTTCTTCCAGTGTCAACATCGCCGTAGGAAATGAAAGACAAAAGCTGCTCTGGTGTAGGGGAAACAGGGACAAAAATCATCCTCCAGCGATGCCGAATGGGGATTAATGTCTGACTAGCAGACGACGCTTGGAGGTGATGTTCCGATTGGCCAGAGGGCCTCGTCACGTGACATGCATCGGGTGGAGACGGCGGGGAACCATTCGTTTTTGTTCAGCTTCGGGCAAAATGTGCGATTAGAACCTCGCAGGTACTTGTCCCTCGCTATTCAACCGTCTCCAGCTCTTGGAGAAGGTTGTTATTCATTTTTTTAATTTTTTTCTTCAACAAAGGCCGGACTAGGTAGATATGGATCAATCAAAAACGGCCAACAGCCTCAGTTTTAAGCAACGGAAGGGATGCTTCGTGCAGCGTTGGGTCCTAGTACTGATTGCTGCTGTAGCAGTTTGCTGCGTCCTGCTAGTCGGACTGCTTGTTGGATACTTGACTCCATGTGGGGCATCTCCGAGGTCGGAAGCTCAGGTAGTGAATCCGGAAGTTGACAAGAAGGAACTTCCTTATGTCCTGCTGCCGAGAAGCATTATTCCCGAACATTACGATGTCGAATTACAACCTTTCATTTTGCCGGGCAACTTCACTTTTAACGGAAAAGTCCGGGTGCAGATCCGGGTTCTCGAAGAAACGGACAACGTAACGCTGCATATAAACGATATAACTGTGAACGAAGACAGTGTCCGGTTATCCGGCTTGGATGCCCCGGATATTGCGAGAACGAGTAAGGATTTAGAAAGGCAGTTCTACATTTTGCATCTGAAAGGAAAGCTGGGGGCTGGGCAGAGTTATGAAGTGTATATGGAATTCTTGGGAAATCTGAATGACCAATTAGCGGGTTTCTACAGGAGTTCCTACAAAGATGAAAAAGGGCAGACAAGGTATGTCGTTTTCCATTGTTTCATAGAACTAAAATAATCCTCGTAAATTCATAACATGATGATTTTTATGATTATTTGTTAGAGTCCTAAAAATTCGTCTTTTAGTCTTAACAAAGTAACCTAGAGAGAGAGTTCTGGAACTATTTAAAATTTTGTACAACAAAATATAAGCAAACAAAGAAAAAATCGGAAAGTTTTCAGATTTTATATTACGCCCAAAGGGCTTTTTTTTTTTTTTTTTTTTTTCGGCTTTGTGTGTTAGCTTTATTTATAAAATATCATGTTCTTCGTACTTAAAACATAAAATTCAATTCAACAGCGATATCACAAAATAATTTTTATAAAAGTATCTTTAAAATTTCCGATACACATCGCGCGCCGGAGATAATTTTTTTTTTTTTTTTTTTTTGTTTGTTGCCACTGCTTGTTTTGAAATCGTTGAGTTTTTTAATCAAAAACTCATAAATGCTTTGCAAAATATGAAATAGATAATAAAACAAATTCCAGATTTCAAATTCGGATGTCCATATTCGGTGAGACGTACATTATTCAAAACTGGATGGCTCTGTACATTATTTATGCACATTCTTCATTATTTAATTTCTTTAAATAGAATGTAGGGCGATAATATTTGGTAGCAACAATTTCAAAAGTGGAACGCCGTTTATAGTGAAACGCCACAAAATTCCAAAACGAAATTAATAGCCCTTCAGGGCATTATTAGTCCAAAGGGTCAATTAGCTCAGAAGGACTATTAATTTCGTTTTGGGATTTTTCGTTGGTTCCCTATAAATGTCCGCTCACTTTTTAAATTGTTGCAACCAAATGTTAGAGACCTACCTGCATTATATTTAAAGAAATTAAATAATGAAGAATCTGAATAAATGTATGTATGTTTCTCACATTGTGATAAAACAACGGTACTTAGAGCTATCGAATTTTAAATGACGTAATCCTCCTACGAATATGGACATGTGGAAGACTTTGAAATTTGGAATTTGTTTTATTCTCGATTTCATATTTTGTAAAACTTTAACGAATTTTTGATTAAAAAACTCCACGATTCTAAAGCGAGCAATGGCAACACTGCATGGAAAAAAAAAAAAAAAAAAAAAAAAAAAAAACTTTTTCATCTCCAGCGCGCGAGACTGCATATCGAAAATTGTAAAGATGTACTAGATTTAAAATTATTTTGCGATATTGCTGTTGAATGAATTTTATGGTTTAAGTGCGAAGAACATGATATTTAATAAATAAAAGCACCACACAAAACGTCAAAAGAAAAATGCGCCTTTGGGCGTCATTTAAAATCTGAATGCTTTCAGATTTTTTTCACATTCATTTTGAATGCTCATTTAAATATTTTCTGTACACATTGTCCTACCAAAAATAATATAATATACCGTTAGAGGTGTATGTAACCATAGATTCAGAAACCCTTTCTAAAGCAAAACCTACTTTAAGAATTACCATTCTTGCAGACTTTTCCATTGCCTTTCACGAAATTCTGCCAGGATGTACAATTTCTTCTTTTAGACTTGAAGGACATATATTGTGTATTGTTTCAAACGCTGTATAATAACGTAACACGCTATTTAAGAAAAATACATGTATCTTTTATCAAGGTTTAAGGTAAATGTTGAATTCATATTGCCTTGATTTTTAATTTCCGAAGAATTTATAAAATTGGAAACATTGTAATTTAAATTTAAGTGTGCTGTAAAATGGAATTGATCTATGAGCCATAGTTCCATTTTTTTTTCTTCCGTTTTTAAATCTTTGTTGATTACACTTTATTAGCCCATGTTGATTACACAATTAGCCCAAAGGGGTAATTTGCTCAGAAAGTCTCTTAATTTCGTTTTGGCATTTTGCGTCGTCCACTACAAAACGACGTTTCGCTTTTCAAATTGTTGCCAGCAAATATTATTGCCTTGTGTTAAATTTAAAGAAATTGAATAATGAAGAATCTGCATGAATGCAGGTATGTTTGTGCCATTGTGAAAAAAAGGTACTTAAAGACATCAAATTTTGAATAACATAGTCTTCCACTCGAATATGGGCATTTGAAATCCCAAACTTGGAATTTGTTTTATTATTATCTTTTTCATATTTTCTAAAACTTTAACGAAATTTAGATTAACAAAGTTAACGATTTCAAAGCGAGCAATGGCAACACTGTACGGAAAAAAAAAAAAAAAAAAACATTTTTATCTCCAGCGCGGGAGACTGTGTATTGGAAATTCTAAAGATATGCTGTTTTTAAATATTTTGTTATATTGCTGTGGAATTTAATTTTCCGGTTTGCGAAGAACATGATATTTAATAAAGAAAGATATCACAATAAAACACCCCTTTGAACGTAATATAAAATCCGAGAGCATTCAGACTTTTTTACAGATTTTTTTTTTTTTTTTTTTTAGTAATTTTGTTTTTTTGCTAATATATTTTTCTGAAACTGGTAATTGAAAAATACTTTAGTAGTCTGATATATTTTGTTAGAAAATATGTTATTTTTAATTTATTGGTGACGTTTTTTCGTTCACGATTATATTTTTATCAGTTGTTTTTTAACAGTTGTAAAAGTTATGCATTTGACAGTATATATTTATTAAAGTTTAGAATTTTTTAGTCTAATATTTTATGTAATGTCATTTTAGTAATCATAGTTTAAAGCAGTAAATTTATTACGATGAATTAATTTCCAAAATATTTTCGCAAATTTTCGGTCATTTGACTCATAAACATGACAATTTTCCGCTGGCCACAAATAAATTCGTGACTATCGTTTCTTTTTGAACCTGTCGTTTTTTACTTTTTATTACAATCTAAAATATAGTTTTGTAATTTAAGTAACATTAGTCCACAAATAATAAATATTTACGTGGGAAATATATTACAAATTTCGCTTCAATAATTCTTTTTCACTTTCTTGTTAGCTGTGCTTCTTCTTTTTTTTTTTTTTTTTTTTTTTTTTTTTCAAGTCCAAAGGTACAATTTGCCCTGAAGGACTACTATTTTCGTTTTACGATTTTGAGTTGAAACCTTTAAAAGGCTGTATCACTTTTCAGATCGTTATCACCAAATATTATCGCCCTGTATTATCTCTGAAGAACTTAAATAATGAAGAATGTACTTAAATGTATATATGTTTCTCACATTGTGATAGAACAACGGTACCTAGAGCCATCAAACTTCAACTTTCATAGAATATGGGCATGCGGAAGCCCTAATTAGAATTTGAAAATTGTTTTATTATCGATTTCATATTTTGTAACACTCCAACGATTTTTTTTTATTAAAAAAATAAACAATTCCAAAGCGAGAAATGGCAACGTTGTACAGAAAAAACATTTTTATCTCCTGCACGTGAGACTTCGGAAATTCTAAAGATAAGCTCAATTTAGAATTATTTTTCGATATAGCTCTTGAGCTGAAGTTTATGGTTTAAGTGCGAAGAACATGATATTTAATAAATAAACGTAACACAAAAAATGTTAAAATAAAACGCCCCTTTGGACGTAATTTAAAATCTGAAAACTTTCAGATTTTTTGGGGGGTGGGCTTGTATTTTTTTTTATAAAATTAGAAAATAATGATTTTCGTTTATGAATGATAAAAGACTTTAAAATTAGCATTTCTAATTAACTATTTTATAATCGTTATGTTGTAAATAGCAAAAATTTCGTTCGATAATCATTTAGAAACAACGGAAATTAAATATAAAATTTACTGAAGCATGAAAAATGACGTAATCTATTGAACAATTAAATATTTGCGTCCTGATCGTTTGACAACTGATTTAAATAAAAATATTTGTATAACCTTACTAAAAATCGTTTTTTATCCGAAAGGGCGTTAGCGAAAAAGTGCTTTTATAAGCCCAAAAGTGACATTAGTCCCGAATAGGATATTAGTCTGGGACATTTAAATTCGTTGTATCACTTTTCATATTGTTGCCACCAAATATTATCGCCCTGTATTACATTTAAAGAAATTAAACAATGAAGAATCTGCGTGGAACGTTTGAACGTTTTTCGCACTGAGAAAAAACAACGGTACCTAGAGGCATCAAATTTTAGTTGTCCTCCACTAGAATATGGGCATCTGGAACCCCAAATTTGGGATTTGTTTTATTATCTATTTCATATTTTGCAAAGCATTTATGAGTTTCTGATTAAGAAACTCCACGATTTCAAAGCGAACAATGGTGACACTGTGCGGAAAAAAAGGATAATTTTATCTCCAGCGCGCAAGACTAAGTATCGGAAATTGTAAAGATAATGTTCTTTTTAAATTATTTTGCAATATTGTTGTTGAATTAAATTTTATAGTTCAAGTGCAAAGAACATTATATTTAATAAATAAAGGTGAAACATAAAATGTTAAATCAAAAGATCCTTTGGGCGTAATGTAAAATCTGAAATCTTTTAAATCTTTTTTTTTTTTTAAATAACGTTTTACATTTATCAATTTGTTTCCAAATTTTTAATGGCAGACCCTTCTTTGAAGTATCTATTTTAATCTAAAGTCTTGAGATTGCAATTTTTTTAAGCCTCTGCGTAATGTAAAATCTGAAATCTTTTAAATCTTTTTTTTTTTTTTAAATAACGTTTTCATTTATCAATTTGTTTCCAAATTTTTAATGGCAGACTCTTCTTTGAAGTATCTATTTTAATCTAAAGTCTTGAGATTGCAATTTTTTTAAGCCTCTGCGTAATGTAAAATCTGAAATCTTTTAAATCTTTTTTTTTTTTTTTAAAATAACGTTTTCATTTATCAATTTGTTTCCAAATTTTTAATGGCAGACTCTTCTTTGAAGTATATATTTTAATCTAAAGTCTTGAGATTGCAATTTTTTTAAGCCTCTGCGTAATGTAAAATCTGAAATCTTTTAAATCTTTTTTTTTTTTTTAATAACGTTTTCATTTATCAATTTGTTTCCAAATTTTTAATCGCAGACCCTTCTTTGAAGTATCTATTTTAATCTAAAGTCTTGAGATTGCAATTTTTTTAAGCCTCTGCGTAATGTAAAAT